AGATGTGAAAAGATATTTAAAAATGTGAAAAGATATGAAAAAATATTAAAAGACATGAAAAAATATTTGTGATCAATATTTCAAGTATAACTATTTTATCAAAATTAAAAATAATCTTCCACTATACTATTCTATTATATATATGAATATTATATTACAAGTAATTTAAAAATATAGATCTTGAATAAAAATAAATATAATATTTAAAAAAAATAAAAAAATGATAATAAATATAATAATAAAAATAATATATAATATAAAAATAAGAATATTTATAAAATAAATGAAAATTATAGAAATATATGATTTTGTATAACAAGAAAAGATTAAGAAATTAAGAAATTTTATATTATTATGGTAATAATATATTAAAGCTAGTATAATATTATTTTTTTATTCTATATTTAAATAAAATTATTATTATATATTCTTTTAAATTAATATTTATTTTATATTTATAATTATTAATATATTTAACATTTTATTATATTAATAGATGATTTTATTACTAAAGTTAAAATATTAAATATATTATAATAAATTAGTTTAATATATTTATCTTCTGAATTATAATTATAATATTGATATATAAAGTTATTTTTTTATTTTATTAATAAAATCATTATAAAATTCTTTTATTTTTTAAATTATTATTTATAATTACAAGTATTTTTTTTTTGAAAAAAATAAAAAAAAGATTCATTTATTTATATTTATGTATTATTTATATTTTTTTCTTAATCTTTTTTTCTTTTTTTCATATTTCATTTTTTTTGTGTAATTTCCTCTTTTTCATATATAATTTTCCTTTTTTTTATATTACATATATTTTTTTGTATAATTCTCTCTTTTTCATATATCATTTCTCTTTTTTTCTTAATCTTTTTCTCTTTTTTTTCATATTACATATATTTTTTTGTGTAATTTCCTCTTTTTCCATGATCTTTTTCTCTTTTTTCATATTACATATTTTATATTTTTAATTTTTATATAATGTTAAATTTTTCTTTAAAAATTTTTAATAGTACAAATTTTACTATAAATTAAATGGTTTGTCTTTGAGATTTTTTTCTCATCAACAAAAAAATAATAATATCAATGATTTGATAATAATTTGAATATTTAAACTCTCATAAATTAGTTTTATCAATATAAAACTAATTATTTTATGAAACTCTCTTGAATTGGTTTTATTAATATAAAACTAATTTAATTTAAACAAAACTCTTGTGAATAGATTTTATTAATATAATATTAATTTAATTTAAACAAAACTCTTGTGAATTGGTTTCATTATTTTAAAACAAATTTTATTTATTTAAATTCTTTCAAATTGAATTTAATATTATTTAATTATATACTTTTCAAATATTTTTTATTATATTATTATTTTTCATTTTTTTTATAAAATGGCAAAAAGATTTTTACGTTATAATGCACTCTAAAAGTGAAAATGTGGTTTTTCACGGTATAGAAACGTTTCATCGTGCTTTGATGTTGCGTCTGAGTGAAAAATTTGAGGCAACCTGTTTTACAACTTTTTTCAGTTGAAAATGACACATTATCGTTATAATATGACCGAAACTCATTTCAACGTATCAATAATATCCGCAACGCTACATGTAATTTTGTAATAAAAAATAATGAATCATTTTCATAAGATTATATTCTACTTTTATGTCATAGAATATAAGAGTGACTCTGCATATAAAATAAATGATATAAGTTGATTCTGTAATACATGAATCAACATTTTACCACTGACTCATTCTATATGAAATATTCACAAATGGTATAAAACCGTCCCAACGATACGTGATAAACTCGCCAAAATCTTTTTTCTGACGATAGACCGAATGACAAGGATACGGCGGTGCCTCGAACAGTTCTTCAAAATTGTCTAGTGCAGGGTCGAATGTGTGAGGTTTTCCAGTCGCAACAAAACAAAGTTGTATAGTGGCGGTGGTGGTGGAGTGGCTTAAGTTGATCTCATTTTCTTCGAATTTTGAGAAAGTGAAGCAATGTGAAGAATTCGTGGAAAAATATATTCTTTTGTCATTACTTTGTCTATTAAATAAAGGAATTAGATTAATTATAAAATTGTGATTTTTATATCTACAAATGTATTAATTGACCTGTTTTTGCCTATTTCATCCTCATATATCGATTTACAAGAATTACAGCACAGGACAGCAGAAGGATCGCACGGACTCTCTTGTTCTTCATATTCACATTGTGATCTAGTTCCTCGCCAAAGAGGCTTCACGTTCGGATCATCAACAATTAATGTGAATTCCGATAAACATTCGTCGAATTTCTGCGCAGAGTTTTCATTGCATTTTGCAAATGAAATTGTTGTTACGACTGGTTTTCCCTAATACATGTAGTAATAATATTAGTATTATGATGATGCTGTTGATGACGATGATATAGGATATCGATATACCATATGGAATGGATTTTTCCATGTAGAATGGAAATAATCAATAACTTTGTCGGCTATATTACGTGTTCCTGTAAATAAAGCAACTTCACGTAATAATCTTACAGTGTGAAAGTATTTTTCGAGGCCACGTAAATCAGAACGAAGGCTTGGCGTTAATCCTGTATTAAATTTATAAATTTTTCTTGGTTAAGTTTATTTATTAAATATCAAAATAAATAAAAACTCACCATGTTGACAACGTGAACATCGACAACTTTTATCATTAATTTTTTCTTCATCATTGTGTACGTCCACATATGTATTTTGTTTTTCCTCTTTGTTTTCTTCATTACAAACAAATTCTGGATATTTTATCTCAAAAGATTTCTTGGTTTCATCCACGTTAATTATGATAGTTTCTTGCTCTTGTTGTTTATTATTGTCATTTTGAGAGCATTCTGAAAGTTTGGGAAGATGCATTTTCAAGTATTTGTAGTTGTTAATGCACGGAGACAATTGAATTTTTGATAAAACCTTTGTTTTTATTCATTTATATTCATTTACACAAAATATGTCGCACATGTATTACTATTACCGTTACTTACTCCTGCGTAAAATCAACATTCGATATATAAATTTTGAAACTGTAACAATTATAAAATGCTCATTTTTATTAAATTTATGAAACTAAAGTTATTTGAAACAGAAATGCATTATTAAATAATATATTATTCTCATCAATATTATATTAAACTAAAAATTTAAAATCTGATTCAAATACAAATTTAACAGATTTAAGAATTTTTTGATTAAAATTTTAATACAGTTCAAATCTCTTTGTAGTCTTTACTCTTGGAAAATCAAAATTATAAACTATGAAGATTTTTTATTTTAGTTACAAATAAATGACTCAAATTGGATAACTATAAAAAAAATGCGATGATAAAGAGATCTGGCTATAGTTTAATTAATATTCAAAGTTTATTAATAAATTAAAAATTTAATAGAATAAAATAGAAATTTTTATTAATTTAAAATTTTTTTAACAAAATAATATCAAGAAAAACTATTTTTCAAATAATAAATTTGAAATATAATATTAATAAAGAAAGAAACTTCAATTTTATTATAATTCAATGCAAAAAATTTTTATATTTCAAATTAATAATTTCTATAAAAAAATCAGAAAATCGGAATTGAGCCTGGTTAAAACTGGAAAATTAGAAAAATAAAAAATTACAAATTAAATTAAGCAAAAATTTAGTTGCATGTTTTATAAATTATAATATATAAGTTAGTTAAATATTTATTAAATTTTGTTAAATAAATTATAAAATATTTTAATTCAAAATAAGTATATTAATTTTAAATTAGATTTTTTTTGAAAAAATAAATTTAATTTAACAATTTTACAATTTTAAAATAAGATAATTCGTTTTAAACAAAATATTTTTTGAAAAATTTTCATTAAATTAGAAAAATTTATTTTACTTTATATAAAAAATTCAAAAATAAAAAAACTTTAAAATATATTATTTTGTAATTTTCAAACAATTCAAATAAAAAATATTACTATTTAAGATTTCTAATCAAAAAAATATTTTAAAAATATACTAAATTAATATCAAAAATTTATTATAATTTCAAATATATTTCAAAAGTCAAAAATTTGATCTGAATTTATTATAAATTAAATTTTTTTATAAAAAATTACTTTTTATAAAAATTATATAAAATTAAATTTATTTATATAATTTTTATATTAAAATAAGAATAAAATAGATTAATTTTTTATTATTTTATTATATTTTTTTATTATTTGATTATATTTTTTAATTAATATTAAATAAATTAATATTTTTAAAAGAAAAAAAGTTTAATAAAATTTATTTTAAATTAATTTGTAATATAAAATATTAAATTATACTTTTTAATTAATTTATATTAAAAAAGAATTAAATTAATAATATACAGTAGCGACCAAAAGTAATGACTCAGGGGTTAAATTTACTAATAAAACATAATGAAAATTGAAATTTTCTTTCTATATAAAAATTTATGATTTAATAAGAAATAATTTTTATTTTTATATTAAAATAAAATTTATCAGTTATAGTTTAACATATATTTTTTTCAGAT